ATATATATATATATATATATTTATATATATATATATATATATACTGTGTACTCCGGTTGCCAAGCAATGACATTTTGTTGCCAGACTTACTGGGTTTTTTTTTTGTGTTCCTGTGTTATATTTTTAAATTTGTAAAATCTGGGTCTGTCCAAAGTGTCCAAACTTTTACTCAGCCACCTGACTTTTTTTGTGTCTTGCTCTTCTGATACTGCGTGGTGTGCTACCTGCTCTTCTTTGGTGTAGAGTTGAAAGCACTGGGTGAGCGAACATGTCTGCGGCTGCATATGTTGCTCCTTCACTTGACGTACACTTTCAGCATCTGGGATGTATTCATCATCAGTTCTTTTGAAGAGACTGGGAAAATAATAACAGCAAGCTATTACACTCTGTAAAAACACACATTATATCCTAATACTACTAAAGAAATAAATGTTCAGTCACACAAATGATAAGCTTTTACCCACAAAGGTCAAATGTCAAGAAAATGAATAAATAGAAAAGACTTAGACTCAGAAACGATCTACAGTAGTAGTTCTCAAAGTGGGGCCACCAGGAGGTGCTAGGGAGACCTCGCAAATTCTTTTTATTTCTTTATTTTATTGTTTTATAACCATTTGTCTTGAACCGTGCAACACATTAACTGCCGTAATCGTCGGCCTCAACTTTCAGTTTGGATTATTTGGCACATAATTTACACCAGAATTTCATTAATTTTCATGCATTTCATATGTATTCCGCAAACTTTCAGGTCATAATTATTCTGCATTTAAACATACATGTTTTCCAGACTATAAGTCTCACTTTTATTCATCATTCGGTGAGGTTTGGAACTTATATTCAGGTGTGGCTTATATATTAACCCTTTGATGCATGACCCATGATATACTGAGTTAAAGAATGTTACTAAGTGTTTTTAGACATAAAAATAAGAACTGATTTGGTTCTGTTTTTATACACCAAATTTTCTTTTTGAATGTTGACACAACTATTCTGCAGTTGCAAAGGCTGACCACTGTATGGCAGTGTTGGGTGATTCTCAGGCGTCCACTGCAGAGGCTTATATGCAACACTGCCATCAAAACCTATTCTTATCATAGAAAATGACATTTTCATAGCTGTCCACTGTAGTGACCGTCATGCATGAAAGGGTTAAAATATATAATTGCACGTTTTCATATCATTTATAATTTCACACTGACAGCCGCTAGAGGGCACTCTAGGCTTGTGTACCAGTATCCGCTACTCCTTTTCCACTGAAAATGTACATGTTCGCTATTTTCACACTGAGAGCAGTTAGAGGACACTCTAGCTGGCTAGTCTGATATAAACTGCAAGTATGTGTTTCTCATAAAGACGTCTGTAAAAATGTTGGGCAAGATCTCACTTACTAGTCTTTTGTCTCTTTGTCCCATTCCACAACAATTTTGACGTGAGGAGGTCCTCCAGGACCGCACGACTTGTGTGCCCTGTCAAGACATTGTATTAAAGCACTGATTAATTCTTTTGGAATCCACAGATGTGAACATTTCTGGGTTAACAATGTGCTGCTATAAATGTGTTCTAACTTGATGGCGTAACTATTGACATGTTTTTTTTTAAACAGCCTCCATTTCCTGGTTAAGACAGGTAGCATCGAATTCACACGGAGTAATAGTGTTACACCGTAATATTTGGCCCCGCAAGATCATCATCAAATGTGTAGAGTTGGCTTTGTTGGATTTGTAGTATTAGCTGTGTATGGGCTATGTTGTAGCACATACATTTTGATTTTTTTTTTTTTGATGTGAAAAAAATATTTATATTAAAAAGGAACTGGAAAGGCTACAGATAAAGAGACGCAATAGATAACAAATACCACTAATGTGTGTTTTATTTCAAATTTCATTTCTCATGTGTTTATAATATTAAGCTTTGGTTGTTATGAAGTCAATGATTAGGCAAAACTAAAGTTTGTTTCCATATGAAGAAATTCCCCATCACATATCTGGAGAGAAGGGAAAAAACATGCACAATTGCTGTCAATTTTTCAATACATATTAAGTTTGGCCCGTTGTGAATTTGAGTTTCTGATCATTTTCTGCATGTTCCGTCTGTTATACCAAACTTACAAAGAAGCTACGAGGACGAACCATTTCTGATGGATGAAGATGGACAGATATTTTTTTTTAGGTTACACCACTACCAACATAAAGTTGTTGCATACACCGCAGCTTATCTTTGCAGATCGGTTTGACTAAACACACACCGCAAAGCTTGGGTAATAACGAACGAATCAAGGCCAGAGCTTCTCCATGGTGTCCAAGTGTGAAAAAAAAAAAAAGGGGCAATACCTTTCTACAGAGGGATGAAAAAGGGGCTGGCCCCCTTTGTAAGGAGCAGACAAAAAAAAAACACAAAAAGACAATTACACATGATACAGGAGTGTTGTTTTATGTTTAATGTTTTATTCCATTTTATTTGAGTGTCCCGCCCCCAAGGTGTCTGTGCATGAAAAATGTATTTATGAATATAGTTAGTGAGCGTTGTGTCCAAGCATATACCTGCACAATAACTCCAGGGCGCAGGAGATGACGCATTTTCTCCAGAATCTCTTTTTGAAGCACATCCCAGGTCACCGTTTGCTCTAAATATAGAATGAACGGATTACCAAACCTGCAGGGGGGTAAAAAATTAAGACATTTTAAAACATTTTCTTAAACGCTGCGCAGCTTGATTGAAATGAATTTTTAATTATAAATATCAAAAGATCTGTATGGATTATGCTCTGCCATCTGTGCTTTGTCAGTCTACAGTGCTGTAGCAGGTGTCTTTTCACACCTCACCGTTTGTTATACCAGGATGGGTTTGGTTGCTATGACAAAGCACTGTCTGCAAAATCTGGGTTGCCATTACTAAATAAAGCGCGAAGAGCGGAACACGGTTACAGAAATAGAGTCAAAGAATCCTTAAAATAGAATAACTGTATCCTGTAACCACAGCTGCCAAGACATTTTTGTACCTTTGGTGATGACTTGTATGGGTGTTTAGTCCACACAAACCCCCCTACAACCTGCTGCGGACACTTTATTATTAAGGTCAAAGCTTGATTTTTTTTTTTGATTCTGCTTACCTGGCAATTCAACTACAGCCGCGCTCCTAATGTCACGCAAAAAAACCTGATGTACAACTGATCGGCTACTGTATAGCCTAATAATTTCATCTGATGTGCAGGACGATGAACATGTCAGCTGACAGACAGTTGTTGGGGTTTGGAACTAGTTAACTAGAGATGATGTTTGCAGTTGGGTGTAAACATATCTGGGTGCTGGAAAACTCTTGATTTTTAGCTTTAGCTTTACAGGCACTCACTTACCGTTTTTTCCAGACTATAAGTCGCACCCTTTTTTTCATCCTTTGGCTGGGTTTGTGACTTATACTTAGGTGCGACTTGTGCTTGTGCTCTGGAGCAACTTATAGTCCGGAAAATGCGGTATTTGTTTGAATGGGGAGTGTTACAACAACACAACAACAACAACCATGTTAAGTCCTGAAATTTCGACCAATATTGGACCAATATTGAGCCATCCCTGTATGTTATGTTATAATGTTTCCATTAGCAAGACTGTTTAGTCTATTATGCCATTCCATCCATGGGCCAACGTTTTGACTTGTGTTCCAAAATTGTCCGAAAATTTGATAGGGTGGGTCGGGTCAGCAGCAAATAGATGGAGTGTTAGTGTGAACTAAGACAAATGACATGTAAAAGTCATGCATAAAGGCTAAAATGCTCAAATGTTTTTATCATTTTCTACGCCTTCTATTGGGGAAACGTGGTTATTGCAGGGAAAAGGCAGAAGTATCACGATGATATAAAAAAAATTATATAATTTGGAAAAGTTTGGCGGGCTGGATGAAAACCCGCCTGTTACCCTCAAATTTTCAAACATCGATTATCCTCAGGTTTTCAGGCTAATCCATGACAATACGAAAATAGGAAAATAGCCATAGAATCTCACTGATTGGTCTGAAACTGGAAAGAAAGATATTGTTGCTACTTCAGTACCTTCATATCACCTCTCACTACCGAGTTCTGTCATTTACAACATGTTATAAGAGAGGCAGTTTTGGTTATTCGATCACACTTACATCTTCTACTTTTACCCTCAAATTGACCCCAGAAAAGATAGACAAAATTTCCAACCTTTAGAATTATTTCTTTGTTTTGTTCTCTCTACGTTGTTCATGTCCAGTACGTGCTTTTCTATTGATGACGTAATGAAAAGCTCAAATGTTGTTTTTTTACATTTCGGACATGACTAACTGGATACCTGGTGGGGCCTGGAAGCATTTTTGATTACATTAGCAGTGCTATGTCTTCCTTGCTGTTCAGGTGACGGGGAGACAGACCACGATATCTTTCCATTTTTTTTAGACAGCAACGTATCAGATGATATTTCATAGTTAGGATCCTCCTCAACATTAAGCTCTGTTTCTGAAACATCATCATTCTCCTCTATGGCACTCTCATGATCAAAAAGCTGCGACGAAACCTCAGCAGTAGAAAACCTTTAGGTAACAGACAGTCACAGCAAGAAATTGTGTGAAGTGCTGAAGTGCAGGTCTTTCTCGTGGCAATCGTTTTGCCATCTTTTTGTTTGACAATTGTTTGTGTCATCAGAATCGTCACTAGGTTAGGTTAGGGCCCTAAACATAATATGTATGTTATGATGACCTTAATGTGAGCTAACAATATCAAACGATAACGCAACATGTTCTTAAATGTTCTTATACAGCTAAATTGGCTAAATCGGGAACACGGATGTATGCGACATGCATACAGGACATCAAAAAAATAGGATGTTAAATTCAAGTTTACCTAGGTCCCCTTCACCAAAGATTAAGCAAAAAAAAAAAAGTGTACTTTCTGAATTGTGAGACGTTAAACATCCAGTGAGGTCAAATCGACCCCAAGGATAATAGGAGGGTTAAGATGCAAGTACCTGCGTCCTTGCTGTCCAGCGCAGGCTCTGTTACACACAAGGAGAACAATTTTCTCGGCTTGTCCGGTGTTCTTATTGGGACTCTGTGGTTGTACTGCAGGCTCCTGTATTTGTGCGGCAGCCCTGTTGTTATCGGTGCTATACTTCAGGTTGTTCTGGTTGAGGTTTACGTGCGTACCCCCTAAAATAAGCACAAAATGCAAAGATTACATTACAGTACGTTAAAAATAAAGACATTCTATGGCCTTGCAATCACTATACTGTAGTTTAGCAACTAACTATTTCAAACTAAGCTATTCAACTATTTCAAACTTGAAGTTGGCCGTACCGGCTCGATTTAAAAGAATCTGCTCCGGTTGGAACAGTTCGGGCGTCTCAAAGGCAAAGATTGAATCACTCTCCTGAATGATGTCGAGGTCTTCGTCATCATCACAGAAGGAGCGGTGAAAGCCATCGTAATACATTTCAGTGAGGACAATCTAGGAAGAGGAAATAGGAGGGGGAAAAATGACATTGTTTTGCATTTAAAGCCAGCCAATGATTCCACTACTGATTTTAATTTTGTAGCATGTCATCATGTTTGAATGCAGCATTGTGTTTCAGTGGGGTATCAATCCTCTGCTGCCTTCTTGAGGAATTTCGAGTAAATACTAGGGGATGTCCGATATGAACTTTTTGCCGATATCCGATATGCCAATATTGTCCAAACACTTAATTTTTTTTTTCTGTTTTTTAGCACACATCATTTGGCGAAAAAAACACAGGCATTGCGTTATCGGGTTTTCATTATCGTAGGAAAAACTGATAAAGATTCTTACAGATTTAAAAAAAAAGATGCTAATCGGCCAATATTATAGGACATCGCCAGGACACTTTATCAATTACTACACATTTGAGGCGACCCCATTTGAATTCCAGGGGACCCCCACGTAACTATTTAGTACTGAGGAAACGCATTTTGGAATGCTTTGGAGGTAGTTGATACAAATGTTTTCTGTTTCTTTTCACAAAACAATAAGTAGCTAATATGCTATAATAATAAAATAAAAATATTTTTCTGAATTAAAACATTTTTCTCTGCCCTGTTCTACATCAACATCTGTGAAGATACTGGGATAACAGATAATAATTTTTTTTTTTTTTAATCTACTATTTAAAACTAAATTTTTGTTTAGAGTTTTTATCTTTGTGAATTGTTTTTTTTTTTACCCCAAAGAAAGTGTAAAATCAGTGAGTGTGACTTTTTTTTGGGTTCTCAGCATGTTTCTGAGCATTGGTTTTCAAACAGAGAAGTTTCAAAGAAGGCAGCACCTGCTGGACTGGAATTTTTGTTTCTTGCGCCACAGCTTGCCTTAGTCTGGATACAGCACCAGAGAGCGGCACAGCCACCCCAATTCTCATACAGTGGGAGCACTTGCCTTGATACACCACTGTCACATACAGCGGCCTGCAACACAGAAGAGTTCGATTAGACACGTTTTTGTTACGACTGCTTTTATTCAGAATATACCTTACCGTGTGTGAGGTACTGGAATTGGCAGTGAGATGCAGAGGAAAGGATCAAAGGTGTTGCTTTGTTTCTGGCAATGAGGGCATGTCAGAGAGGATCTACGGAGAGTAGAAAGTCGGTGGGTAAACAGAACAGTAGAGTGTTTTGGGAACACGCGTTTGCTCATTTATTAAAATACAATTGTAACGATTTATTTTCCAATGCGATAAAAGTGCCGTGGACTGTTCTTTTATCCATGTTCACCATCAGAAAGATTACTTTTTATTTGGCTTGAAATAGCTATCTTTGTATTTTCCTGCTACGCGTCCTCCTTGTGGTTTGGGTCGAGCTTTCACATACACCGGAAATGGAAATCGTCCATTTACCACAAAGCTGTGCTGTAACTCAGCCGTCTCATCTCACGCATCTCGTTGCGTATTTGTTGAAACACAACACAAATGGTACCAGAAAGCACATACATTTAAATATTTGCTAAATATCAGTATGGGTTTGCAAATATAGTACAAGGACAACCCCCCCCAGAATGTGCACATGTCTATATTGACGCAAAAGTAGTGGCTATGCACCATTTTGGGGCTTCTCCAGCAGTCAGGCCTACAGAAAGGGAAGGTGATCAAGTAGATCTTTAGCAAAAATGTTATATATAAGAAAATTCAAATGTAAATATAGGTCTTTACTGTGTAGTAATGACAAAATACTGCAAGAATTGAATCACGTTGTCCCATACAGCTACATACATTTAACCACTACACCAGCATATAATGTGTTTAGTAAGTATATTCACTTCTGCGTGTAAATATATATATATATATTATATGTGTATATGTGTATATATATATATATATAGATAGATAGATATTATATTATTATTATATAATTCTGTCTTCTGTTCTTGTTTGGTTACATCTCAGTCAAACAGCAGTTAAAGACAGACAAGTCAATAAAGTAATATTGGCAATAATAATAATGTCTTCTAAAAAGACATTATTATTATTGCCAGTTAGTCCTTCATTTATTTCAATGATCAAATCCTTGCAGTTCCTAAGAATATCATTTGAACTAAATATGCTATATATAAATACGCATTTTACATAAGGTTTAAACGGCTTGTATATTTTCATACCGACAATATTAATATCACCTGTATTGTGCCTGAAACAACTCCTGTACAAATGAGCCAGGTGCTGGTTGTGGAGACCCTTCAGTGCCATTTTCTTCTGCTACAGGAGGCTGAAAATAGAAAATAATAGCCAGACATTGTATTCCTATATTTTCTCAATAATCTTTGGGATTAACAGTGTCAAATACTTTTTTTTTTTCACCGAAACGGCCGAAACACAGAACAAAGTTATGATGACGCAAGCAAAAACCCACGGCTAGCGCAGGCTTTTCTGAAAGTGACAACAACTCAAGAGGGGGGGTGCATCTACAAGGTATTTCTCCACATGGGGTTTAATTTAAATGCCCTTTGTGTTTTTATGAGAACATATTTAATTACACAATCTTTCAGGAGGCCAGTATGCCTGTACATTAAGTTAAGTCAAGGTTAACATTCTATTTTGAATTTTATTTTATTTTATATTGTACATTGTTGGAATGTGAAAGCACATATTTTCCGAATGTTGTAATTGGTTTATTCTTCGAAACATTAATAATAATATATGCCACTGCAACGTTATAGCCACAAATGCAGTGGAGCTAGTAGCTGCCGTAGTAACTTCTTTCTGTGTTTCGGTTTTTCGGCCTTGGTTTCCTCATTTTTCGGTTTTGGGTTTTGGCCACAAGAATTTCAATTGATGTGATATGATTCTTTCAGGTGGTTGTTCACATAATATATAATTCAAGGGGTACATGGTATGAAAACAACTTTGCTGTTAACCTTCCGAGGTGGTTTGCTCTCTGGGTGGATGATTCGATTTAGGTCTTCATGAACTCTGTCCAGCAACCAGAGAAGGAATTCCTGGGCATCGTGTTGAGAGTTCCCCTTAAACTGAAGGGCACTCTTGGAAACGACATTCTGCAGCAGAGAATAAGAGAAAATGAATACAACTCTTGGAGAACAATTCACTAAGCAAATGAGTCGCTTTTGTACTGCAACAAGGCCTGCATGCGTTTCTGCTGATACTGATACCGGTGTTGGAACAATCCCGGTGTTTCTCTCTGCACGTTTTACTGTACAAATTGTACACGGTTAAGAGACCTGATTAAACTCACGTGATGACACAGACACAGTGTTCGAAGGACACACATTGAAAGCACTTGGCAGAAGCCCCCGTTTTGTGAATTACAGATTTACAGCCCACAAGAAAAGCACCACGAAAATCCCAAAAGCACATTTTTTTTCTTCTGTTAAAGATGTACCCTGTAAGAATCAGTGCAAAAGACTTGTTTCTTAATATGTAATGAATGATCGGACTAGTTTTCTGTAGACTATTATAACGCAAGAGGGTAATCTCTAAAAGTCCAAAGTACCTGTGAAAGTCTTTTTTTTTTTTAAATAGTGGAATATAAAATGAAATGAAAGTGAATAAACACACTGAAATAGGCAAACTTATATTTCCATTACAGCAATTTCTGTCAAAACCAGAAAGGTGAATGACTCTCTTTACTACTTAAAGAAAGTATGACAGGGATTCTTTACGAGGTCAAACCTGAACAGTACCACTATCTAAGCCAGGCATGCGCAAACTAAGGCCCGGGGACAGGATAAGGCCCAATTAGCTTTTTAATCAGGCTCGGCAAACTTTTCCAAATTATATAATTTATTCATATTATTACACTTCAGCCTTTTCCCCCTGCAATTCCCATGTATCTGCAATAGATGGCATAGAAAATGCGAAAAGCATTTTAGCATTTTAGCCATTACGCAGGAGATTTACATGTCATTTACATGTCATTTACATTTAGTTCACACGAACACTCCTGACCCTGGCGCCCTGTTCAATTTTAGGATAATTGAGATCAAAAAGTTTGTTTGCCCACGCCTGATCCAAGTCAACGTTGGTGACTCCCCATCGTCTCAATCACTCGACCTGTGAAAAGTTGTTGAAAAGTGGCATCCCAAAAACCGAAGATCACTTACGTTCAGGAGCACGTAACAAAAAGTAGGCGTAGGCGTAAGGAGTGATCCATCACCACAAATCACACCTCAATGTCAAAAACAGGTCATTCTCGTTCCAAAGAAGAGCTGTGAAGCCACTGAGAACCCAATCAAGCTTACCTTGAAGTCTCTGCTGTGCTGAGGCGTGTACTCGAACGTCCAGAGAGCCCGGACAAGTCCAGACAGCTGCTCCGTCACCTCCCCAGCCTTGTCCTGCTGGATCAGCTTCTTCTGCACCAACACTCCGTTGGACTTGGTCTTCTCGCTGTTGCTGCTCACTTCTCCTCCTTTGAACTGCTCAAGAGCAAGGTACTCGGCGAAAAGTTCGGTGTTACTCAGACACTGTAAGATAGCGTTCATGAAGCAGGTGTTGCCGTGGTTCTTCAGTCCAGCAACGCCTGGCACCTTGTCTCCGAAGGGGAACCCACTGCAGTCGCTATCATCAGATGCCAGCGAGCATCCGACTGTGCTGGGGATCGGCGCAGCGTCGTCCTTCTCATCCTCAGCAGAATGCTCCTCGGTGCCAAAGTGGGACAATGTGGACAGGGTCCGTAGAACTCTGTTCATGAAACTCCCTACGGAGCGTACCGAACTCCTTCGGAAAAGTTTCTTACTGAAGGATTTCTTTTCCTTGTTACTGACAACCGCTGACATGATTATTATTATTATGATTACTCTCCTTTTTGCACGTTAAAGCCAAAAGACAACAAGTGCGCTCTGCCCATTGCTACTTGAAAACAATTCCATTTTATAATGGTTAGGCCAAGGGCCTGAGCATATTTAACATCTGCCAATGTCTTTATATAATTACAAAAAAAAAAAAAAAAAAAAAAAAAAAACACTAAAGATTAACGATAATTTAGGTTGACCATGTTGCTGATAGACAATAGCTAAAAAATATATAGCAGCTCTCTGCTTTAGCTCTAGTGAGAAGCCCATGTACGTTTAGAAAACTAAATTACATCTTGGAACAAAAAACCTCAAACAAAAACACTACCAGCGTTGTTTAAAATTCACAAAATGGTCCAAAAAATAAATAAATAAATAAATAAAATAAATAGAATCCCCTACCATTTTTAAAAAATATATATTTTTCTCCTTTCTCTGCACACCACTAAAGATGTTGCATTCAGAACGAGAATTTAAGCTAAGTGTTCAAAACAAAATTAGCAGAAGGTACAACCTATGCTAACCGCACTTCAAACAGTATATTATATACGTAATATGTTCGTGAAAAATTGAGGGGTGGCGGTAAACAGTCAGCAACATTACGCAGCATCAGGAGTCGAAACAGCCCCACTTGCAACAACGGACTGCGGGTCGGGCTGCAAAAACAGCCTCCTCCGCTGACAGCCACCACAGTCTTTCGACGACGTCCGAGGCTGAGCCGCAGCAGCCATCGCGCTCGTTATCAGCACCGGTGTGACAACAACAACCAGAGCCGTGTTGTCTACTCGGGAAGAAGAGTAGGGAGAGCGCAGAGTCTCTCACAAATGACGGTCTGTCCATGAACGTGCACGAAACACACCAGCAGCTCGATCCATCCAAAGGTATTTCCTCAAGTTCAGGGCGGTGCAGCTGCTGATTCTGCCTCCGCTGATGCTGCAGCTTAAGTTTTCGATGGCGTTTTCCCCCAGTGCGGCTGCTGCTGTAATGATGGATTATACCGCTAAATTGCCATTTACGCTTTGAGTAGGCTCACATAGGCACACCGCCATACCAAGAAAACCCTTGCCGTGCCGGAGAAGCACCGTCATCATTGTATCATTAACCCGCCGCGGCTCTCCAGTATCTCCTCGTGAAGGATGCGCGTGTCTGTCTTCTTGTGGGAGGTGTTGTCGGGAAGCAGAGAGCTTATTAGAAACCAACGTACGCCTACGTTTCACTGTCGGGTTGAATTGAAATGGCGAGTCAGTTTCCTTAGTGGTCAGTTCCATCAATATAATTATCATCTCTGACTCTGCAGGCTCAGGCAGGGCGTTGACGTCTGACGTCACAGATGTAACACTGGTCCATGTTGTCGTGGGAAGAGAAGAAGGAACAACAATATTGTGCTGTGTTGAATGTCGGGGTTTCGGCAGGATGCAAATTTATATATTTAAATTAACGTTGTAGATAATTATTAACATGTTAATAAGTTAATAAGCAGTGCGAATACTCATAAGTGAAACCATTTCTTTGACCAGCGAGATATAAACAAGAGTCACTTTGGAAAATGTTCAATAACACACATCACAGTAGTCATTTAAAAAAAAAAAATCTTACCGTATAAGACAATCTATTGTTCAAAGCCTACTTTCATTGTTTCCACCAGAAGAAAGTCACATTATAATAATGTAATAATCATTTATTACGTCACAGATCTATACTTAAACCGTTCGAGGACTGGATTTAATATTTAGTGGTAGAGGGAGATATTTGTTCTCCATCATTAATATTACTTAACCGGCAGCAAAAACAAACTATTACTGGAACACTGAAAGTCTGATGCTTTTAAGTTGAGTTACAGTTGGAGTTAATTATGTTTTTAAAACATTGTTTTCCGGGCTAGAGGGACTTTTATCATCTATAATAATAATAGTAATAGTATTTTTATTAATACAACTTGTAATCATTTCATTTAGTGGATGACTGTCAAGTACTGTATACTGTGTAATACAGACAGACTAGTGGTACAACGATAGTAACTCTAACTGTACGTAACTTGAATGGAAGTGCAATAACCACTCAATAACCACTCATTATCTGCAATCTCTTTCAGCTGATATATATATATATATATATATATATATATATATATAAAAAACTTTGCGCTCTCTGTTGACACACTCAACAGATCAGATGCAGGATATCTCATTTAATTTCACTGGGAGAACAGAACATGTGATATTTTTTAATTTTTACTTCAGAAAATTCAGCCAAACTTAAAAAATTGCCTGTCAGCAACAGTTTGACTCGAGACTTTTCAATTTCAACATTATATTTTGCAAGAAGGAAACTGTACTATGGCTTTACTATTACACAGAATATTTTGTATTTACTGTATTTGTTACAGCTTTCCTTAGCTTGGTTCTGAGGCGAGCCCCACAGATGAATTCCTAAGTGTTGGCACTCTATGTCTAGGTCACACTTTTGAGGTCTTTTCTTTTTTATGTAAAATAGTTGATTGTTGTTTTTGTTATTTCTCATCATTTATAAGAATGATATTGCTTGTTTTCCACGCTGCTGTTCTTTTTTTTAAAGGTAAAATAGTTGACTATTGTTATGATTATATTTATAAGCGCAGTATTGTTTGTTTTTATATAATGGGAGACTATACCCCACTGTTGTTTTTTTTTTTTTTTTTTAATTTAATGCTGTACTTCTCATAACAAGTCTCCAGTCACTAGGTGGCAGCAACTCATACAGTGTGGGACAGTTCTCAAAGGAAAAATACAAGACAGTTGCTCTAACTTCAAAATAAAAAGATTTATAAACAACTACACACTGTAATGTACACACACAGACACCCTGGAAAACACCAAAATAATTTATTTTGAGATTAGGTAAGAACCTAAAAAGGATGGTAAAAAAAATTAAGCTTCGACAAATTTAAAATGATCAAAAGTATGTTGAACAAAAAGAGCTTTTAATTTGTGAGCTCCGGATGAAGTAATTACGATGGCAATATTACATAATCAATCAAGATGCTAGTGAAAAATGATGAAAGAAAAATAAAATGTGAAGACCAGTGATGAAAATAAGTATCGCCCATGTCCTTTACATTGCTAAATTGATGTTGGTTGCTGGGTAACATGTGGCTCAATCTAACCTTAAAAATGTGGCAAAATGTCATTATTATGAATGCCTTCACAAATAACTAAGGGATCGTAAATTTGTGTTTTTAAGACCTTGACTTGAACAAAATACCATAAATAGGAAAAGATGGGTTCACAGAGGTCTCGCCACATATCTTTTTAATAGCAAAAAAAATGCAAATCAATTTGACATTTGAAACAAAATTAATTGGGAGGCTATAGGCAAGTAACTCTTGTCATTTAAAAATCAGGTTCGTTATCCATTCAAGATTGTTTAACGTATTTATTTTAACTTTGTGTAAATTAAATGCACTTCTTTTTAGTAGGGCCTAAATGACAGATGCTGGGCATGCGCAAACTACGGTCAGGGGGCCAGATATGGGCCATTATATTATTAAATAATATCATCTTTAGACTTCAGTCTTTTTACCTTTTCCCTGCAATGCATGCGTTAATCCAATAAGTGGCGCACTGCAGTGGTGAGGTGAATTATTCACCACATCACTGCTTCGCTTTGCCCTTTGAATTTCCAATCCTTTAGTAAAAAAAGATAAGAACAGTTAACAGTGAGTGCCGGGTGTTAAATGGGTAGTGGACAACTTTTTTTCCCCCACATAGGTCCGAGTCAACGGCTGTATGTCTGAAACTGAAACTGTTGCGGTTTTCAAAGTATACAATATTAGCCATCAATTCGCTGTGAGGAGAACGCTGACGTCAACATAACGAACATTCACTTTCGCGCAGCTAGATAGTATTCTCATAACGAGGCATTTAATACCGCGCAGCTAGTATTCTCATAACGAGGCATTTAATATTTTAACTTTGTGTAAATTTAATTCATACGCTCCTATTAACAGTCACTTTCTGCAAAATAATGTTACATGTTTACATTTCATTCTTCTTTTATTAGCTAAAATCTTAAACGATTTATCGGCTGATAAGCAGCCTGTAAGCACCCAACCAATTACGTTATCTTTCCTGTTTCTTGCTCCTGTTTTCCTCCTTGTATTTTGCAACTCTAGTCAAATCCATGCGAGAATCCACTAGTGCAAATAAAAAAACTAATAACACAAATATTTTGTTTTGTAATGTATAAAATAAAGAGTACAAATTATTTATGGTATGATCTTTGATCATTTGATAATTTGTAATGTATGTTATTTCCCAAAACAAAGGCTCTAGGTACCTAAACAGATCCGACAGGGAACTATTTGACCGGCAGGATTCTGTTTCTACGGAGGGTAAATAGAACGCTCCGAGCGGAAGTTGTTGTCCAGTTTTTGACAGCGTCAAAGTATTTTGTTTGTACATTTCCGGCTTTAATCGTATATATTGAATTTTAACTCTGGAGGAGGCGGTGGCATTGTTAGAAGTTTATTTAGTTGTAATGATAATTTCATTTTCTTGGGCTATTTATTTTTTATTCGTGTCGAAGCCCTTGTTTGGTAAAAACTAGCTAGGCTAACGATGGCCCAATGACAAGTCACGAACTGCGACAGCAGAGCTCTAAACAGTTTTTCTGCTTAGGTAAACAAAGTTAGAGAGCAGATGGATTTCTCAAAGTTTTTGGGTGATGACTTCGATGTGAAGGAGTGGGTGAACGGCGCCTTCAAAGTGGTGCAAAAGGACGTGCCAGGAAAACCAGATACGCACGCAGCCACTCTGGTCATGAAACTGCAACTGTTCATCCAGGAGGTCAACAATGCTATTGAGGGTCAGTTTCCTTTAAAATAAAACAGTACATTTTCTATAAAATTAAAAAATTAAAAATCAAAGAATAACAGAGAACGTGAAACACCCGAATAAACTAAATGCATATATCACAATTATCAAGTATTTAAATCGAAGGTAGGACAATGTAATTTTTCTGTCCTAAAAGTAGTTCAATGGTTTTACGCAAATAGTTAAAAAAAAGCATATGTGCCTTTGATCAGACCAAGTGTGTTTTTATATCACAATTGAAAAAACTACAACATGGGAAAGAATTTTATCTTGACATGGTATTACCTCTGTGTAATTTAAAGAGCAACAAAGTATAAAAAACTCGAGACATGAATGTATGAGTGTTTGAAAAAGGACAATATATTATATAAATCAAGGATTAATTGGATTTGTCTTGGAAGTTGGTTACATTGGTTTGGCTATGTGAATTGCCTTTGAATAAAAATAATAACTCTATAATATTTACAATGACTGTGGTAGCCTACAACAGAACCTAAAGCTAGTAATAGTTTAAGGTAGGTCAAATAGCTTGCTAAAAAACACTTTTATACGCAGTTTTATATATTATTTGATCATTAATCATGATTAATATGGAGAAATTATCTTTTAAATAATACAAAGAAAAAAACATTTGTGTCAGTTTATTGTGAAGACAGAAAGCAAGCAGTAGTATACATTTATATTTGTGACTAATCCAAATGATTGGTTTCTTAATATGGAAAAGATTCTTGAAGAATGTGCAAAACAAAGATCTAACATTTAGCTTCATAGAAATAGTAAATACAAAAACAACGTCTTACTGATCATACAGTGAACCACAATAATTAAATAGGTTTTATTGTACACTCAATACCTTGTCTTTTGCTGTATGATCGATCCTGTGGTGTCACTGCATGTGTTTTGTCAAGTTTGTCATTGTGCCTGTGTCTGTAGTTACCAGCAAATCCAGCACACAGTGTTGTTGTTGTTCTGCAGAGAAAACACCATATAGCATTTCAAATGTTGCAGACCACATTGTGGATAAAACCACTGCTTCAATTACTTTATTTTTGAATTGGCAAAATAATACTTGGAGAGTCATTAGCTTATGATAAGTGTTTGTTTTTTCCTGAATGCCTTTCAGAGCATTTCCTACAGTCAATGGGCACCATCTTTATTTTTCCAGTATGTAAATGTTTTTGTCCTGTCATTCAGAAGCTAACAGAATGCTGTTTTTTTTTTTTTTAAGAGAGCAGTAATCAGGCCCTCCAGAACATGCCGAGGGTGCTGCGGGATGTTGATGCTGTAAAACAGGAGGCTTCCTTCCTGAAGGAGCAAATGGTGTTGGTCAAAGAAGACATCCAAAAGTTTGAGCAAGATACTGTGCGATCGATGCAGGTGCTTTCTCTTTTACATTACTATACTAGTAGGGTTATGGTAACTAATGAACTAATGAATTTTCAGAAACAGCCAAATGCCAGTTTAAAGACATTGAGAAACACAGCACTGTGAAAATCTTTTAGGCAGGTGTATAGATTTACTGTACACTCAGTTGTTTTTTTCTTTTATGTATTTAACCAAATGTAGAACCAAAATGTAATTCACGAGCACATCAATGACAATTCGTTGCTCTTCAATTTAAATAAAAAATATTATGTCACAAAGGAGGTTGGGTTGGGGCTTAAGGCGGGGCACACAGCTGTCAATATCAATGCTTGCCTTAGCAAGATCCAAGGTAATTTAACCTTTTGGCTAAATGTGATTTTGAGTGTCATAGCCTTCTTCATATAACTTATATTGTATAGCGTTTTAAGCCTTTTAATGTTGGGAGTCGGAGCTAACCTTAGCGGTCATCAGGCATAGGCAGGGTAACCCCAGAGCAGTTTACCAGTCTGTTACATGGGCCCATATAAAGACAACAACAACGAATCACTTTTTTTCATATTTACACCTATCGTCAATTGAGAATTTGCATTGACCAAACTGGTTCTTTGCTTACTGTACAAACAAACAACACTAAATTAACTGTGTGGCTCGAGTGTCAGTGTCTGTGAAACCATATTTGATAGCAGCTAGTGTTAAGGCAGAGAACAACCTCCCTCAGGGTATTGAGTACTGAAAAATATGAATCATCACCTTTGTATGTATTATTCCATTTGTTTTCAAATTTGGGGTCACGGCCCCATGTGGGTTAAACATATAAAGCGTATAAAAATATCTGAACTGGTGCTTCTTGATTGACGGCCGCGATCAAAAAAAGGCTCTGGGGTCGCCTGAAATTTGTGATGTAAAAATGGGATCATAAGCCAAAAAAGGTTGGGGAACCAGTGTTTTAACCACAAATTGTCTATTGCAATTTTTTTTTTTTTTTTACTTTCTGCTTTTAGCTGACTGCCTAGTGTCTTAACTAATGTTATTTTTAACCTAAAAAGACAAGGGTTCTTTCTCATCAAGAGACAGTAGTTCACTTCAATGTTAATGTTTACAGTTCACATACATACATAAACACGGAAGTAAATACATGTAATGATCTAGTTCAAAATAAATGACCAGTTTCCAGTGTGAGATAATGGTCTTGTATCTTTCTTTTCTCAAGGTTCTGGTGGAGATAGATCAGATTAAAAGTCGTATGCAGGTGGCAGCAGATGCCTTACAGGAGGCAGACAAATGGAGCACACTGAGTGCAGACATCGAGGAGACCTTTAAAACACAGGTATTAAAAAAGAAAAAGTTGGGGATTTCTCTGGTCCTGTTTAAAGATGATTTTCTGTGAGATACATAGGCATTGAAAAATACATTTTCCGAGAAGCTTCATCCAGAAGAAGTGAAACATTTTAAACTAAGAAAGCGTAGTTGCCTCTGATTGAACTGCTTCGAAGGAAGACAATTCTGATGAAATGAGAGGTGCACCATGTAAATAAAACTCCCTCACAATCTACAAAAGCTTGTGGTACACTGAGTGAATGGCACAGAATAAGCAAATACATGGCTTAGAATATTTGTACAGTGTCCAGTGTTGTGCACAGTTAACCTTTATTTTTGCCCTTTATTTTACCAGGACTTTGCAGTGATCTCGTCCAAGTTGACTAGCATGCAGAACAGCCTGGCAATGTTAGTCGACACTCCTGACTACTCTGAAAAGTGTGTGCATCTGGAGGCACTTAAAAATAGGCTGGAGGCTCTGGCCAGTCCACAGATAGTGGGAACTTTTAACTTGATGTCTTTGGGTAAAAAAAAAAAAAAAAAAACACTTTTTTTTTATTTATCGTCTTTCCAATAGTCTGCTCTCAGAATTTTACCGTCTTTTTCAACTAACCTCATGTTTAATATTTGTGTCTATGCAGATCAGGCCAAGCTGTTTGTAAAAGTCTTCACTGAAATAGACAGAATGCCACAGCTTCTGGCCTACTACTATAAGTGCCACAAGGTCAGTAATTTGGAGTTAATATATATATATATGTATATATATGTATGTATGTATATATATATATATATGTATATGTATATATATATGTATATATGTATATATGTGTATATATATGTATATGTATGTATATGTATATATATATGTATATATGTATATATGTGTATATATATGTATATGTATGTATATGTATATATATATGTATATGTATATGTATATGTATATATATGTATATATATATGTGTATATATATGTATATATATATAAAGTTAATAAATATTTTATCATCCGTTTCTGATTCTGATACGTTTACATGTCCTCCTGAATGTATAAATTGTCGTCATTACTGCAGTTTTCACCTCCAAAGCTCCTCCGTCTAGAGTTAAGTAACGCTTCAGTCCACATCAGTTTCAAATTTTGAAACAGAAATATTCTAAACCCCTTAGATGGGAATGGTGGGTTAACAAAATAAAAGCCTACACACTGTATTGTAAATCTGTGAACGGAGCTTTTTTTTCTCTCTCTCTGCTTCTTCTTTCTTATTAAGTTGTTAAAAGAAAGTTTATTTTTTTTGTTTTTTTTCTGGCCTTTGCAGGGCCGTCTGGTCAGCATATGGCAAGAGCTGTCTCAGAGTGAGCACAGTCTGAATCAGCAGCTGTCAGAGTTCTATGACACTTTAGTCTCCACATGGCACAGCCAGCTACAGTGGAGCAGCCAGGTATGGGAACATTTTCAATTATTTTGTTCCGAAATTATTTTTTAAATAAAATGACAATTAGATAGAAATATAGATCGAAAGAAAGAACTTTATTAATCCCTCGGGAGTTCCAGCAGCAGTACAGCACCAAAACTACAGTAAAACTACATGAATGGGTAAAACACAATAAAATACAAACATGAGTAGCAGCACACTGTCAATTAAAATGGAAAACCTGAACAGTGGATTTTAGTAGATTAAAAGATAAATCGTTAGTACCGTATTTTTCGGACTATAAGACGCACTTAAAATCCTTTAATTTTCTCAAAATCTGACCGTGCGCCTTACAAACTTGGTGCGCCTTATGTATACACGCAACTGAAGCACACTGGGAGATGCGCAACAACAATTATTACAGTATGGTTGTGTGTGACCCAAATCCGTGCAACGTCGCATGGTGCCTCTCATTCTCGATGTGTGGTGTGATCCAGAAGAACGACTCAGACGCATAGCTATCGATTCTTTTTTTCGACTTTTTTCCCCCCTTTTTTATCGATGCAGGCAAAACATACATCTGCACCGAACAGCATCAACAACAACAACAATACGGTGACAATCTAGAACAAAAATAGTGACAACCACCTGACTCTGGAGGGGCGAACAACAACACTGCCCTCCTATGTCCAACTTAGGTCACTACCCTTTTTCCACAAATTTCCATCCCTGTTGATCTGTGACTCCATGCGCGCCCATCTCACCGATATGGTCAAAACCCAAGTGAAGCAAAACTAATTTGGGGCTCGCCATCGTTCCGAGTGGATTAACCACAGAATTCTAACGGCTAAATATTGGCGTTAACGTTAAACTACGAGCTGCGTGGGAGCATTGGACGACAGGAGGCGAACACACAACAGAGGAAGACGATGCCAGACGAGTTACGCCACTATCTGCCAAACTTTCGCAAAGGTCGCAATAAGTCAGGAACAGCTAAGTAACGGCAACAAGACTCGGATAATTACGACAGGGATCGGGGCGTGCTTGATGCTGAAATCGCCTAACTGTTAAACTCAGACACATGGCTATATGACGTATCTAGGCTATAACCAATTGTTTTCCTACAACGTTCGCTAGGTGTTCACAAATGGCTATATGACGTAGCTAGGCTATAACGACTTTTTTTTTTTCCTACAACGTTCGCTAGGTGTTCAAAAACCCATGCGAGGTGGTGACAGTGTTACTCATTCAAACTCTGGGAGCCATGGTGCCATCCATCACCGTGTGTCTTGGCACAGTCATGGAGAGGGCAGCTCAAGAGGAACGTCTTGAAATCCTGCTGGAGCTGCATCAAACCACAGTCACCTTTGCCCACAGCCTGGAGACGGCCATGCTGCCTAATCTCGGTCTGTCAAGAAACATACAGATCACACTTTGATTGTAAATTTTGGCCAAAAGCAGGTGCTTACTAACCTCCATGTTTTCAGGTAAAAATAACCTGCTGAAAGTGACCGAGTTGGTTTGCACACTCTACGACCCCTTTAAGTCCTATCAGCTGCAGTATGGCGATCTGGAGGAAGGTCTTCTACTCGTCCAACTCAGTGCCGTACCTTTGGTAGTAAACTCACACACACACATTTTAAGTTGAGGGGTCAGCTTTATTGTCAATTTCTTCACAACTGTCCAGTAGACACTGTATGTCTGTATCAGTCGCTTCGGAGTATATGTCTCACCAGTCAACTAGGGTGCCCTCTAGCGGCTGTCAGTGTGTAGATCCAAACATGTAAATATCCAGTGGTACCGAAGTAGCAGATGTTGCAGATGTACACAAGCCTACAGTGCCCTCTAGCGGCTGTCAGTGTGAAGAAACAATCGTGAAATTATATATTTTAATACACTATACACTATACTGCTGTATAAGTAGCAAACCCATTCAAAGAACACTGTATAAGTAGCAAACCCATTCAAAGAATAAAAAAAAAAGTTCGGAAAATACAGTAAATGAAAAATATTTTTTTTAAATAAATATATATACTGTATATAAACGTATTAATTACATTCTTTCTTTTTTAGGAACATGGGGAGATTATTGACTGTGTAGAAGAGTTGGTCCACTCTGTCGGCAAAGTGTTTGGCCTGGCCAATGCTTCTGTGGAGCGTTTCGTCAAGCTGACCGATGGACTAGCAGTCTGTGGTCTCGTTAAAGCTCTCAAAGCTCTATTTACCAAGTAAGTATCCTTTGTGTTCCGATATGCAGTCCCTGTTTTGCTTTTGATATGATAGAAATACCTCCTCTCATTTGTATCAAATAAATGATAAACATTAATTGATTGGGGGTCGATACTTTCAACATTTTATTTTATTTTTTTCCAGGTACATATCGGACTTTTCCAGAACACTACAGTCGATCAGAAAAAAGTGTAAATTGGACGAGACGCCAAGTTTATCTGTTTTCCAGGAGGACTGGACAGCTTTCCAGAATTCCGTTAGGTTTGTTGTCTTTTTTACATTTCAAACACCTTCTATCTACAAACCACTGTTAATCCCTGGCCAGGTTCACACATTTACTTGTGTTTTTATGTCTGCAGAATTATTTCCGCGTGTGGGGAATTATTAAGACAGTACGGAGCCTTTGAACAGCATCTGTCAAACAAGTAAGAACTTTTCTTTTAGATTACAGTTTAAAAGAAACAAAAACAACAAAAAACAAAACAATGTGTCAGCATGTATGTTTATGGAATGTTATTTTACCATGTGTTTACACTTTCTTTATGTCAGATATTATTTAAAATACAGTGCATTTTACAATATACAGTAATACCTTGATATACGAACATAATCCGTTCCAGGACCATGATTCTAACTTGAGGTGCTCGAATCTCAAATCATTTTTTCCCCATTAGTACATTTTCAGTGTTACAGGAGTAGCAGATACTGGGACACAAGCCTAGAGTGCCCTCTAGCGGCTCAGTATGAAAATAAGTAACATGTACATTTTCAGTAGTACAGGAGCAGCAGATACTGGTACACAAGCCTAGAGTGCCCTCTAGTGGCTGTCAGTATGAAAATAACGAACATGTACATTTTCAGTGGTACAGGAGTAGCAGATACTGCTACACAAGCCTAGAGTGCCCTCTAGTGGCTGTCAGTATGAAAATAACGAACATGTACATTTTCAGTGGTACAGGAGCAGCAGATACTGGTACACAAGCCTAGAGGGCCCTCTAGCGGCTCAGTATGGAAATAAGAAACATGTCAATTTTCAGTGGTACAGGAGTAGCAGATACTGGGACACAAGCCTAGAGTGCCCTCTAGTGGCTGTCAGTATGAAAATAACGAACATGTACATTTTCAGTGGTACAGGAGCAGCAGATACTGGTACACAAGCCTAGAGGGCCCTCTAGCGGCTCAGTATGAAAATAAGTAACATGTAAATTTTCAGTGGTACAGGAGTAGCAGATACTGGTACACAAGCCTAGAGTGCCCTCTAGTGGCTGTCAGTATGAAAATAACGAACATGTACATTTTCAGTGGTACAGGAGTAGCAGATACTGGGACACAAGCCTAGAGTGCCCTCTAGTGGCTGTCAGTATGAAAATAACGAACATGTACATTTTCAGTGGTACAGGAGTAGCAGATACTGGGACACAAGCCTAGAGTGCCCTCTAGCGGCTCAGTATGGAAATAAGAAACATGTCAATTTTCAGTGGTACAGGAGTAGCAGATACTGGTACACAAGCCTAGAGGGCCCTCTAGCGGCTCAGTATGAAAATAAGTAAGATGTAAATTTTCAGTGGTACAGGAGTAGCAGATACTGGGACACAAGCCTAGAGTGCCCTCTAGCGGCTCAGTATGAAAATAACAAACATGTAAAATTATATATTTTAACATAAAAGTCGCACCTGATTATGCACCTAAGTTGCAGGATGAAAAAAAAAATCTAAAGTGCGACTTCAGACTCACATTTGTAACCTGTGATGCCATACTGCTTGTATGATTTCACGTTTTTCGTCCGTTTTGCTCATCACCTCCCCTCACCCCCTCTTCTTCTTACAGAATTCTAAGTACAGCGGGTAAATACTTGTCAGATTCATATAGTCCTCGTAGTCTGGCAGGAATCCAGGAGGTTAGCTCTGCAGAGTGGAAGAGCACCACCAAGAACCCCTGGCAGGAGTACAACTACCTCCAGAGGGGCAACACAGCTGAGTACAACAACTTCTTGGAAGTCCTCTACTCAATAAAGGTATAAGGAACGGAGAAGACTCTCAGCACAGTATAAACCGCTGTCACTGTGACACTTTGGTCGGGGATCCCTCTGTAGCTACTGAACATCATCTCTCTCTGTTCTGACAGGAGAAAGGAACAGGAAATTCCAGCCTTTTAGTTGAACCCCGTGCAAATGTGACCAGACTCAACCAGCAGGCCATTCAGCTTGCCTTTGATTCCGTCTTTCTGCAGATTAAACATCAACTCTGCCTTATCTCCAAAATGGAGGTGATTAAGTTTCATGGTTTCTAATGTGTTTGACTGTGGAGACCTTACCAAGCTTTTGGATCTACACTGTATGACCAAAAGTATTGGCTCACCTGCCTTGACTCCTACTATGAACTGAAGTGCCATCCCATTCCTAACCCAGAGTTCAATATGA